AAGCCACCTCAGCGTCGACGACATAGATTGAGCGCAAGGCTATGACGATGGTTTCGTGTTGCACACATGGTTGTACCGCATCTCGATGCTGTCCCGACAGAACCGGCGCGCAGATGCACCGCAGGAGTCCCACATGCTAGCTCACGCGTGCGCAAAACATGGGAAGCGTGCTTGATCACTCAGGCTCTTCAGCCTGTACTGCACGAATGTCAATGATGAATTAGTTGATCATATAAAACGTGTCCAACGTGCGGTCTGGACAAGTGTGCATACCGCCAGGCTTCAAGGAGCGGTGACTATCGATTGCGGGTCGCCCATGAACTCATCGACGCCCAAGGTGTGCTTGCAGCTGGCAAGCTGGACCTTCCTGAGAAGGTTGGCTTAAGCACGATCGACGGGGCAATATGCATCTCGCGATGGTCTACCGGCGAACGCCTGTGCGGAAAGAACGAGTAGTACCAGCAGCGATGATGAAGATGCGAGAGTAGAACTGGGAATGAAAGTTCGTCTACCGCAGCAATCTGCGGCTGCTAGGGCATGTACGATATTATCATTGTATGCAAGGCTCTCGTGTGTTGATGGACACAGTTGCACAAGCCGTCGAAGATATCGACAACGAAGTCCTACAGTAGAGGCTTTGACAACTGAGTCATGTTCACCGAAGGTACATCCAGGGTTTGCACCACTATCGGAGAAGATGTACGCCAGACAATCTGGAGAGAAAGCCCGAGGAGGCCAAACGACGAGCAGGAGATCCAAGCGGTCCGGGGTATGATGCCTGCTCTGCTACTCCTGTGAGCTATGTATACGAAGGGGATATCGCGCGGGTCGGGTGGTACAGATATCGCATATGACAGCTGAGAAGTAAGGCCTTTACGGGTATGATTAGGAGCTTTACGGGCACTGGTGGACGTTCAAGACAAGGACGCGCTCACCGCTCTCTGGGCGCGTGCGGACTCAACGCGGTCACGAGGCTTGAAATTCCAGGACTCGTTTGTTTTTCTACCGTTCTCCTTTCCGTGGTATGTTGGCTGTCTACACTCATCAAAATGGAAGCGTATATACTCCCTGCTGTATGGACCCACGTCAGAGAACTTCAAGACTGGCATCAACCGAGCATATTTGTCGTTGCCTGGGTCATGCTCCGCGCGCCGACTTGCCCCCTCCTTTCAATCCCTCATAGACCCGTGCAATCTTTGCATTTTAGCTGGTATGCGGACTAGCTTCACATTCAGGCACTGCGCTACTTGTTCCTACCCTGGCGGCTTTCGGGACCCTCTCGTATATAGATTACTGACCCGTCAGAGTTTGAATTTCCAGCTAGCCCACACAGACGAAAAGCATGAATATATGGATGGCCAAAAGTTACGGAGAACGTGGCTACAGGAGAATGTACACAGGCAACCAGTATGAGATGATGTTGAAAGCATAGGAATAATGGGATGACCGGATAATAATCCACCTTGGGCGATCATAGGACATGTTCCTACACCCAGCAATGGCAAAATGTTGAGATATCCATCGAGAGCCGGCATTGGCGTTGATTATACTCATGGTGAGTAAGCTAGTTATTGCCGGCCGGTAGATGCAGGGCCGTTTGGAAGCGCGAGCTCACCGCGCTTCCATTTGTGTTTGGGTGAGAGCGACCCTTACCGTCGTCTTACCTACACCTGACCATCACCATCCACCCTGAATTCCCCTCGAGTGATTGACATGCATTGCAGGCTCCGAGAGGCGCCTAAATGCTCTGGAAATCTTGATCAGACGCATAGCACATTGTTTATACTTGACCTCTGGGGCATGTCCCCGCACAACCCTCCTTCCCCACCCACCCGACAGGTATAGTATACTTACGCAATAAACTCGAACAGAAAAAATCGAAAGGCATGGGGGATGTGAGAGGTTCACGAGCAAAGGAAGGAGGAAGAGGAAGAAGGCTACCGTATGGCACAAACCCTTTACAACAACCGCCACGATACATGATTTCCACCTGGAAGCATTTGTCCTAGTGAGTAAACCGGGAAGGGATACTTCACGTTCGCATGCAGCCGGTATGGGCCTAGTACCGCATGCGCTTGGGATCACGGTCGTCATAACCAGAGCTTTCACGCTTATACCCACCGCCTCCGCCACCACCAAAGCCGCCTTGGGGAGGGCCGTATCCAGGGCCGGCGCCGCCACCGCCACCATAAGCAGGCGGGGGACCACCAAACCCACCGCCACCAGGGCCAGGGGGACCGCCAGGACCGGGCGGGCCACCAAACCTATTTGGTGGAGGGCCATCAAAGCCCCCACGACCGCCGAAGCCGATTCCGCCACCACGACCGCTGTACATGATATCAGCAAACTGTCAACTCATAGATAAATGAAAACTAACCGATATCCTGAGTCTCCTCTCGGAGGGCCGCCAAAGTCGCGTCCACCTCCGAACCCACCCCGATCACCACCACCGAATCCGCCCCTACCTCCTCCCCTGTCACCGTATCCACGGTCACTTTGGAAACCGCCTCCTCCCCCGCCTCCAAATCCGCCGCGGAAGCCACCACCACCACGACCACCGCCTCCTCCACGGAAGCCGCCACCACCGCCACGACCTCCCCCGCGGAAACCGCCACGTCCGCCGCCGCCACCTCCCATAAATGCTGCTGCTGGCTCGACTGGCTTAGGACGACCGCCCAGACCGCCGCCTAGACGACGCGGTTTCCAGCCACGGACAGTACGACCGCGTTCTACATCGACCATGATGCGTTTACCAGCTATATGAAGACCGTCGGACTCCTTGTAAGCAGCTAAGGTCATTATAGTCAATTATTTGCCTTGTAGCGGTCATAGAATTCTGTGAGCCTACCTTTCATATCGCGTTCACGCTCGTAGACAATGAAAGCGTAGCCACGGCTACGACCTTTCTTGTCCCGCACGATACGTACGCGCTCAATCGTCCCGTACGACTCGAATTCGCGACGCAAGTCGCTCTCGGTCGTATTCTTGTGCTATTATCGATGTCAGTTATATGTCCACATTAGCAAAGATGTAACAACCCACCAGCCTGGATATGAACAGAGTTTTGTACGGATCTCCGACCGCCTCTGGATCCTCCGCAGGTTTGTCTGCATCCCAGGACCCGTTCGTCAGTGGAATGAACATGGATAAAAAATAAAAGACATACAGGTATCCTTGGCCGCTTTCAATTCCTCGGCTCTCCGTTTCTTGCGCTCCTCACGCCTCAGTTGGCGTTTGACTTCCTCTGCAAGCGTGAACGCTGGCTCCTCGCCCTCCTCCATGGCGTCCCCGTTCGCCGTCGGAGCATCTCCAGAGAGCGCATTGGTCTCCCGCAGCATGTCTAGAAGTGGGCCTACTCCATCGACACTTTTGTCCGTAACCCGGTCAAGATCCCTGTCGACTGGTCGGAAGTAAGGTAGTGGCGCTCGCGGCGCGAAAAGTTTAAGCAAGTTGGGCGGGAGAAGATGGGTGCCCGGCATAGTGGCGAGGCGCGAGGTAGCGAGAGAGGTTCAGAGACCTCTTTGAGATTAAGGTGGGGATACAGGTATACGGGTGCGGAAGAAGTTATGTGGCCACGGTGGAGGAAGACAGCAAGCTACGAGGCCTCGTGCGCCGTGATGGCGCCGCTGGCAAACACGCGCAAATAAAGTTGGTTGAACACGTCAGTGCGCGCGCAGCGCCAGTCTCCGGCTCTCATGGCTTCGAGTTTGCGATCAACCCCCCCTCAATGCTACATCTTACTTGCTTGCATAACATAGGAACATCAAATGCATCAAATGGCTCACTGCTCAATCAGGATGACAGCTTGGGCCGATCTCTCTCAGCCTGCGAGCGGCTTCAAGTTTTGACTGAGGAGATAATCTGACCCCTCACCTTACACAGACTCTACATACTGTGCTCTGCTTTGTAGCAAGACGTGTGATTGCTTCCAGCGCGAGCAGGAGCGGGACGCTGCGGCAATGATCTACAAGCTTGTCGCGCGCGCGACACCCAGCTCCGTGACTCTTCTTGCAGGAGCTCGCGCCAGACTCAACGGCGGGGTTGGACGACTTATGAACACTCGCTGGTGGTAGAGGTTAGCGCTCAACGACAGTGATACCATCTTTGCTCCCTACCCTGGGTGCTGGACTGTCGATGAGATGAACCTTGGGCATACTGACTTGATCACTATAGGGTCGTTCGATTTGCTGTCCCAACCATGTGGCTATAGCCTCGAGTCCGGCACTGTAGGGCCCGTGGAAAGAAAGCTCTGCTTGTATCGCAGAATGGGGGCCTGAAATCCGGCTATACATGAGCTGATCAACCTCGTCACGACTTACTCTCAGCCTCATTAGAATGAAAAATCGCTCTACACTTCATCAATGCAGACGGGCAATGGCGATCCATTTCGATGGGCTTACTTACTGTTAAGGTCCTGTAAGCACATCGTGGCATGTACTCAGAGTCTATGAATACACCTCGACACGTTCCCATTAAACTACTGCACCCTATATGCTGATAGAGACTCCTATACGTCGGACGTCAGAGTGATAAGCATATAAAGAGTGATCAACGTCCTACACCTAATTGCACGCTGCATTAATGTAGATAGTCATTCACTATCGCAGTGGTTATATATACTCGAGTACAACGGCAAGTCGTGCGGACGCATTTGTGACTGGCAAAGGTCATAACCGCACTTTGAGCTCCTCTCGTTATCGGTTCGATGGTGTAGTTGGTTATCACGTCTGTCTCACAAGCTTCATCGTTGTGCTCACAGGAGGTCTCCGGTTCGAGCCCGGGTCGAACCAGTTTTGCTTGAAGATGCTACTCTAGATCTTGCAGAGATTGAGTCAAGGAAGACAGCAATCGACACCCACAACTCTTGTTTTACTTGACCGCATTGACGGCGCGCGTTGCTTTCCAACGTGCCAAGTCCATCGTCGAGCTTGAGTCGATCTCCGACCGTGATACAAGATTTCGTGAATTAAAAAAGATCAGCTCTAGTAAACAAAGCAGATTGCATCAGCCGGGAATCGAACCCGGGGCTAGGCCACACTCAAATGGGAAGACCCAATGTTACCATTACACCACTGATGCTTGATGAAGCACTTCAACAGACTTTTATGACCGTGTGGCATGAGGGAACAGATACAGATGTCCGTTCCGGTATTCACTTTACACATCGAAAGATTAAATGAGAATACCCAATATTAAGCCTATGCCACTGTTGCTTGACCAAAATAGCTCATAACCGTAGCCTCTTTAGTAGACAGGTAATGGTACCCAATTGCCAGGCTGTGCTGCGCACAAACACCGCATGCACCGATCTCAGACAGTTTATGAGTGAATAGCGAGTACTCTATATAAGTAATAACATCGGACACACAAAGAGATGGGCATAGCAAGCAAATGAACGGACACTGATCAACCTCGTGCTCTCAATTCCAAACCCATTTCACCCGCGGTTTGAGCTTGCAGATGGACTTGTGCTCGCTCCAGTCCTCTTTCTGGCACTTTTCACTACTCGCATCGTGAGAACAGTGCTCACACGTTACTTCATACCGTACGTACCTGCAGTACCTACACGGATATCGTCGTAAGTCAGTGTGGCTTCACTGCTATCTTGAAATTGGCATCTACCTTGTGAGCTGACAACCGCTGCAAGCCATCGTCGTATGCTTCGCCGTGTCCTCTTGCTGACAATTCGCACAAGCCCCCATGAGCGGCCAATCTTCTGGTCGCTCAATGCCCATTCGAAGCGGGGGAGGTGGACGACCATCCACCTTGGCGAGTCCGATGACGGCCATACGCAGCTTGATAGCACATGGCCCAATGCTTGGGTTGCACATCGCGTGCACCTGGCAAACGCAGACCGTCAGCATCACATCGAGAGTTCATGAGTATAGACGTGCGTACGTAGATGTTCATGCTGGGCGGCGTGAGATGCGACCAGGTCAAGAACTAAACGGCCAAGGTCAGTTGCATACGAAGTGATGGAACAGATGATCAACGAACCTGTATGTCTGACATTCGTGCTGGTTTATCTACAGCATCAGAGCTGAGTGCGACAGATACAGTTCCTAGCCAATCAAACGTACCACAGAACTCGCAGTACCACTTCTGACTATGCTTAAAGGCCGGGTAATTCAAGCTAAAGAGGTCGTTTCCCCACTTGGAGATCTCCTGCGAAGACATGCCCGCACGCGGCAGTCGCGGGGAAAGCTCGATCTCAACGCGACGCTGATGTTCACCGAACCTATCGTCGGACATATCTTCACCCTTCTTTGAGCCATACACGATGATAGTAATGTCCATAAGAGGTCCAGTGTTCTGCCAGGCGTGTGTAACGGCCTTCTTTGGCCAGGGTAGTTCGTCGTCGTCAGATAACTCATTCTCGGCTTGGAGAGCAGCAGCGAGCGCAGACGGAGTACTCATATTCAGTGCAATGCTATGGATGGAGCGTGTAGTGGAAGTAAGTGAGGATCTAATAGGGATCTACTGTGCCTCGGATGGGGAAGACGAACGTCGAGTGCAAGCCGCGCAGGCGGCGGCCACGCAGCTTGGATACGACCGGGCCGAGTGCCGAGACCCCGATGGCACGGTGGCGCATCTCGCTTCTGCCCATCATGCACCCTATCCGACAACTGCAGCACCATTTTGAATCACTGTGCCGTCTCTGGTGTCATGAATACTTGCCAGCTTACGCGTCTTCGCATCATATTGGGTCTCGAAAGTTTCGACCAAAGGTGACAACTGGGAAGGCGACACCGCTGAGCGCACGAACATCCGCGCGGTTCGAGCCACTGCCTCTCTCTTTTGCACTTCATGTACCCATACATATGGATTCGAACTTCGTCAACGGTCATTCTTCCTGAAACAATCGCGATGTCTCTACGGCGAAATATCTCGCAAGGTTATTGATCAATGCCGCGCACACCAGCGCTACGGAGAATGAATCACGCCATTGTATGCCCCCTGCTATGAACTGTACAGAGACGAAGCCCTGGACACTGCTACTTGCCTTCCCTGTAACCGAGCAGCTTACGCGCTGCACCATTTCTACTGGAAAACTCATCAGTCCCCGCTCAGAACGACCTGTTACTACGAGCTCACAATCGCTCAGCACCGGACCATGAGCTGCACATCGCGTTCATCGACGCGATTGTGCGCACGCTTACAGCACTGCGTCTTGGGATCGCAAGGATCGACGAGGAGCGGGGTGGGAGTAGCGGCGACAAGGCCAAAGATCACAAAGACGACGAGCGAAGCGATGAGCTTGAACTGCATGATGAGTGCTTGCTGGTGTTTAGAAGGGTGTGTTTGTGTGGATGAATGAGTGGCGTGTGCTGAGATGGAACGCGATGTTGTACGGACGTCTTTATACTGATCGTGCTGGCCTAGGCGCTTGATCTATCTGAGATGTTGCCTCAACTACACTACCTGCTTACTGCCGCAACCGGTCTCACGTCTCGACATGCCTATCATTCACGTTGGGCCGGCGAATCAACGCCGGACGATGCCTTTGACCGCTGAACTTTGGGCACTGCTTAGTACATACTTAAAGATTAGGCTATGGGTTACACTCTTCGCCATATGAAACAAAGAAGTAACGACTTGCATTACGCGTGTCCCAGATTCAGTATCAGTCTGCCATGGTCTCATTTTGAAAGTTCATGTACTATGCAAGCGGGGAAGTCGACGGCACGGCGGGCCGTAAGCCTCTTCTACGACTCTCGCACAGAATGTCCATCACTTGAAGTAGAAGATGCCAAGAACAGATCAACACCTCAGTAGGACAGGTTACAAGGTACATATCGTTGTTTATCGGCGCTGTGCATAGGTTTAACCTTGGGCGCGCCGCGCACATGCCTTTTCAGACGTTACTGGCCGTTGACTGATCTGAACAGACAGCTGCTCATCTCGAGGTACATATCACACAGATGAGACGCTCTACAATCTGACATTTGGGAGACGGATGTCAGGGACGAGGCCTTTCTGGCTCGCCAGCCGTGAAGATATGATGAACCCGCGTCGAGTCAAGGAGCGTCGAATGCAGTCCGAAGTCGCGTTGTCTCCGTCATGTACCTAGCCAAGTGTATCGCTACCCATGCGAGCGCTGTTGTCTGCTCAACGTAGACTAAGAGAGAACAACACGAGAATACAGCGCTTGAACGTAGACAGGCGCGTCGAGTCATCAAAAGTACGCTAACCCTCGTGACCGCGTCTCGGCCTCGCCAAAACGAGTTTTCATTTTATCTGCTTCCGCGCGCTCGACCATGTCCGAATCCGATCCGCTCTTCCTCTTCTCCGCATCCTTGCCACCTCCCACCTCCTCACCTCGACCATGGCAGAGATACACGACCAGTTCGATACCATCCTGATCTTGGACTTTGGCTCCCAGGTTAGCCTTCTATTGATGATGTTTGGTTGAGAGCGATAGAGCCTGACGCGGGCGAGTGCAGTATAGCCATCTGATCACTCGGAGATGTCGTGAGCTCAACGTCTACGCCGAGCTCATGCCCTGCACCCAAAAACTGTCCGAGCTTGGTTGGAAGCCCAAGGGTACGTCCCACAACGCGTACTTACCGATGCTCGTGTGCTGATCACATGCAGGTGTGATTCTGTCCGGATCGCCGTACTCTGTCTACGACGCCGACGCGCCGCACGTCGACCCTGCCGTCTTCGAGCTCGGCGTACCCATTCTGGGTATCTGCTATGGGCTTCAGGTGCGTAAACGATCCCGCCGCGTGTTTCGGGTGCGTTGCTTAAACGCGTGTTGCAGGAGATCGCATGGCAGCTGGGCGGCAAAGTCAAGCAATGCGACCATCGCGAGTACGGCTTTGCGAAAGTACAAATATCCAAACTCGGCGACGGCGGTTCTGCCGATGCGCTGTTCGAAGGACTGGGCGACGATCTCGAGGTGCGCTTCACCAGTATTTTTTTACTCGAAATGACTCGGGCGACTGAATGTACGTCAGGTCTGGATGTCGCACGGAGACCAACTGAACGGCGCGCCGACGGACTTCCATGTCATCGGCAGCACCACCACCGCCCCTTTCGCCGCCATCGCCCATAACACGCGTCCATTCTATGGCATCCAGTTCCATCCCGAGGTCACGCATAGTCCGCGTGGAAAGGAGGTCATTGGGAGGTTCGTTCTCAATATCGTGGGATGCAAGCCGTCTTGGACGATGGTAAGCATTTATCTGAGAGATGGACTGCATAGAGTGGCGCTGATGTTTGGCGCAGGAAGAGTTCATCGGCAAGGAGATTGCGCGTATCCGTGATATTTGTGGTGAGAAGGGCCGAGTCATTGGTGCCGTTAGCGGTGGTGTCGATAGCACCGTCGCCGCGAAGCTCATGCACGAAGCCATCGGCGACCGGTACGTTCCATCTCTTCATCTTCCAATGCGTATCCTCCCTGACATTCTCCAACGACAGCTTCCACGCCATCATGGTCGACAACGGCGTCCTCCGTCAAAACGAAGCCTCCCAAGTCCACGCAATGCTCAACCAAGACCTCGGCGTAAACCTAACAGTTGTAGACGCCTCCGACCTCTTCCTCTCCCGTCTCGAAGGGATTGAAGACCCCGAACAGAAACGCAAGATCATCGGTAACACTTTCATCAATGTGTTCGAGGAAGAAGCTGCAAAGCTCGAGGCTGAGGCTGAGAAGGAGGAGAAGGAGAAAGGTGGGGAGGCTAAAGGGAAGATCGAGTGGTTGTTGCAGGGAACGCTTTATCCGGACGTGATTGAGAGTATCAGTTTCAAGGGGCCGAGCGCGACTATTAAGACGCATCATAACGTCGGTGGGCTATTGAAGGATATGAAGCTCAAGCTCATCGAGCCGTTGCGCGAGCTGTTCAAGGGTACGTGTCATTTGCCTTTTTCTCCTCTATTCCACGTGCTTACGCGTTGTACCTATACCTAGATGAAGTCCGTGCTCTCGGCCGCCTCCTCAACATCCCCGCCCCGCTCGTTCAACGCCACCCCTTCCCCGGCCCAGGCCTCGCGATCCGCATCCTAGGCCCCATAACCCGTTCCCAAGTCTCCATCCTCCAAAAAGCCGACGCCATCTACATCGAAGAGATCCGTGC